TTTTGACGCCTAATAGTGAAAGTTGGCTCATGGAAGGTTTTAAAGTTCTTTAAATTTTATTCGGAGTAGGTTTTGGTGTTATCGAGGTCCGTTTGGAATTCCGAGCTTGGAAATAATTCCGTATGGTGATTTAAGACTTGCACGTAAAAATTAGTGTCATTCCGAATAGTGTAAGTATGATTCGGCACGTTCTGAGCGATTTGGAAACTTGAAATTCATAATTTGATTCAATTCAGTTTTGGGGTGCGATTCTTTGTTTCGTTGTTGTTTTATGCATTTTGAGAGTTCGAGAAGGCCCGTATTATGTTTATGGACTTGTTGGTGCATTTGGACGGGGTCCCGAGTGGCTCGGGTGTGTTTTGGACCACACGAAGCGATGTAGGAAAACCAGAAATTTCAGTTCTGGTTTCCTTCTTCGCAAACGCGGAAGGACCTTTGTGCGTAGAAGGATTTGGAGTACTGGGGATGGAGGGAATTTTCCCCTTCGCGTTCGCATAGGCAGGGCCACGTTCACGAAGGCCTGGGCCCTTTGGCCTTCGCGTTCGCGGTTGGAGGGCCGCATTCGCATAGCAGCTTGGGCCTGGGCCACCCAGTTTCCCTTAGCGTTTGCGTGCCAGGCCCCGCATTAGCGTAGATGCTTTTCCTGGGCTCCTCATGTTTTTCCTTAGCGATCGCATATTCTTGGACGCGATCGCATATAAGGACCCCTGGGCAGTGTCTTGTTTCAAATCGGGACTTAGGCTATTTTGAGCTCATTTATTGCACTGTTGGACGATTTTGGAGCTTTAAAAAGGGGGATTTAAACCTAGCTTTTGTAGCTAAGTAATTCCTACCCAATGTGATTTTAATACATAGATTAAGGGTAGATTTTAACATATAAAATTGTAAAAATTATGGGTTTAGATGAAAAACCTAGATTTTGATAAAAATAAAATTTAACCACGAAAATGGTTATGGATGGAGTGAAAATCATATATTTGGGTTCGTGAGATTATGGGTAACAACTTTCTTCAATAGTTTTCGAAATTCGGGCCCGTGGGCCCATGAGTGAATTTTGGGAATCCTTCAATTGGGGTTGGGTAACCACTCTAATAGTTAGAATGTGAAATTTGAACATGTATTGACTATTTTATATAATATTTGACGAGTTTCGAGTCGTTTGACACCGAGTTGGGGATTTAAAGCATATTTGTGGATCATAAGTGAGCTTTGAGACGAGGTAGGTCTCTTTTTTAACCTCATAAGAGGGAATTTACCCCATAGGTGACTTGAATTAATATGTGCTTCTAATTGTGTGGGTTACGTACGCACGAGGTGACGAGAGTCCGTGCGTAGCTACTAATTATGCTTATGTCCAGGTAGTTTATGACCCAAATCATGTTATATGCACCCTACTTGTTAATTTAAGTGCTTAAGTTATATTGGAAATTGATAAAGGAATTGTAAAAGATCGAATTTCATTTACTTGAGTTTTGACAGGTTACTTGACCGTTAATAGGAATTGGTGCTTCTTTGTATACTAGCCTCTTAATAAATCTTTGCATCGGTTGTTTATAAAGTATCTTCTCTTCTTGTGGAGCGGGTCGAATGCCTCGGCAGTAGAATAGATGCATCTATGGTTCGTGCCATTTGATCTTCGGCAGTGCACAATTTATATATTTGTATTTTGGATCGGGCCTCGACATAATTCGTGCGTAATAATAATAATACTTGGAGCCCAACTATACTTGATATCGTGGTATTGCCTTGAGAGGTCAAATTGTTAAATGATGGAAATTGATTTGGGATTTATGATCAGTAAAAGAATTGTTATTTATTTCTTGTTATTGAGTTTTAGTTTCATTTATATAACCCATGCTTATTTAGAATTTCAGTATTTTATTATTAGCCCATAGTAAGTGTCGAAGTCGACCCCTCAACTACTTCTTCGAGGTTAGACTAGATACTTACTGGGTACATGTTGTTTATGTACTAACGTTACACTCCTGCACTAATCGTGCAAGATCTGAGGTAGGTGCATCTGGATATCATCCCGACGCGCACTCCTAATTTCATGAGACTTTGCGGTGAGCTGCCTTCCGAGCCGTTCTGCAGTATCCTGAGTCTTTCTTTTGCTTTTACTTGCTGTCTACTTCATTTCGGACAGTAATGTAGTATTTTTGTATATTCTACTAGTGGCTCATACACTTGTGACACCAGGTCTTGGAAATTATGCTAGTAGACACTTGTTGATTTTGATTATTTACTTCATCTCATTTACTCTTTAATTGTCTAATACTCATTTTATGAAACTTTTCAATTCTTATTTATTCAATAATTAAAAATCAACTATTTTTAAATTGCTAAAAGAAACAATCACATAGTTGGTCCACTATTGGCTTGCCTAGCGGTAACGTGGGGCGCCATCACGACCTATAGGAGAAATTGGGTCGTAACAGCTTATATCTTGGATGGCATGAGCGGCAAATGCAGAAGCAACATGATATAAAAAAGAACTGCATAAGATAATCGACTAATTTACAAACCTGCACAGGGATGTGAAGTAAATGTGAAAAAAGGGTGGCAATCACTTAAGTGGTAAATGCATCGAGTATTTAGCATCTAAAGAAAGAAACCAAAATCTTTTCGTGACATATTAACAACAAAATATTTACAAACCAGATAGAGTATTATGACCTTTGCAGATGAAAAGTTGTGTGAAGAAGGAGCCAATTAGTAAACAACAACAAGAGAATTGAAATGTGAAAGTACTTCAAATCAAAGTGGGAGATCTTATTACTAGCCGTAAGCATAGTTATAAATTTATAGTTTCTCCACTGAGAAAGAAGTAAGGGATGCACTAATTCCTACAAATGAAAAAAAATTGATTTTTAAATGTTATTCAGTTAGGTCACAGAGTGAAGGCGAAGCATCAAGTTTGTTCTAATTCAGTCTTTATAAGTAATGTCTGAAAACTAAGCAAACTTTAGCAACCACGATCTCCAAAATTGATAAAAATAAAATTTCAGAATAAACAAAACAGATATATATCTATTGATCTTAAATCTTACCTTTTAAATGCTTGTTCTACCATGAAAACTACACTACCTGAATCTAATTATGGGAAAGCAACTATAAATGGTAGATTCACTTTTCTCATTTCAATTGACGAAACCCACCAATAAATCATTGAACGAACATTAAAGTCAAACCCTAACCCTAATTGTGAAAACCCAACTCTGTAACTTTCATTCACGAATTAATGAAATTGAGCTGGATAGATACAAAATGATGGGCTGAAGTTTTTGTGAATAAACTGAATCTTATAACTTCCATTAAAAGATGTTCCAAAACGTTCCATGGATTATGTTGTACGGTTGCCAAATTTTGCTTTCACGATATGCAGTTAAATAAAAATCTAATAAAAAACGTGGGAGTCCATTTTTTGGAATTGGAGTAATTATATTTTTTACTGTTAAGTTTGAAAAAAATATCTATCCAAAATGTGGGACTCTGTGAATAATTAAATTGGTTAAGTCTTTAAAATTTTGTACAATTTTAAAAAAAATTTAATATCCAAATTTATTGGAATTTGTCTTAAAGCATGATACGTGTCGATATTCCATTGTGACACTTGGCATAATATCATGGATTTGCCTCTTCTTTTATATATAGATAGATTTTAAAACAAACAAAAATAAATAAACAACGGGAAATCTTAGTAGTTTAGGTATTGCAAAATTTTATTTTGTGTCTCACACAACTGACGCTAATTGTGTGAAGCTTCTTTTTTATCTTACAACTGTGTGATCCCAGAATTTTGTGGACCCAAATGTGTAAGATATGGGTCCACAAATGTCTGAAATAAAAAGAGGTCTCACACAACTAATGTCAGTTGTGTGAGGCACACCATAAAATCACTTATCATATTTTTATGTTATTAGTGAGTATTGGATTTGCCACCTCGTAGTCCCTCTCTATTTTCCTTTTCTCCTGGAAGAGAGAAAATAAAGGCAAAATACATAAGTTACCCCCCGAACTATGACCCAAATCCCTGTTACACACTTTCTAGGAACGAATATTACTTTACACACCCAACCTTTCTAAAGTGTATCTAATACACACTACTTTGCCCACGTGGATAGTGCGTGTTTTTCCCAACAAATGAGTCGCGTGAACAGAAGAATTTTGTGTCAGATGTCAATTTTTTTTTAGTTTTTTAAAATTTTAAATTGAGTCATCTTCTTCCTTTTTAAAAATTATGCCATAGCTACTCCTTGAGCTCCATCACCCGATCTCCTTCTTCTCAAATAGATATACCACGATTTCTTATATCTCTTCTCGTTATAGAGAAGCTTAACTTGAGCTTTACCCATGGCGAAGTCAAATTTTTAGAAAGCGAGAATTTTCCGAAATTTTTTCCAACCATTAAAGCTTAGCTCAAGATTTTGCACATTCTTTAATTTTATTAATGGATGATTTTTTAAATAGTTGACTTGTGGCGATGACAGTTAATGACGGTCGAACTTTTACCGAAGTGAAATGAAAAATGAGTTAGATCTGGGCTCAAAAATTTGATTCAATTTCAGCGGAAAAGATGGAGTTTTGGGTGTGTTTTTCTGGTGATTTTTGTTAATTAATGGTGGCTTTGTTATTAAGTAAAAGGTGGAGGAAGAAGCTATGGTGTTTGATGGTGAGAGAGGAGGAAGACAACCGTGATAGTTTAGATGAGGAAGATGAGGGGTATAATTGTAATTTAAATTTTTTTAATTTTTAATTTTAAAAAATGACACGTATCACTGTTTGATTGGTGCGTGATATTGTACATATTCTGAAAAACTGGTTAAGAAAAAAATGGTGTGTCTAAGATACACTTTGGAAAGGTTGGGTGTGTAAAGTAATATTCGTTCCTGAAAAGTGTCTAACAGGGATTTGGGTCATAGTTCGGGTGACAACTTATGTATTTTGCCAGAAAATAAATAAACAAAAAATCCATCCAACAAAACGATGTCGGGTTCGATGGTAGTGTAAAATTAGACACCCGCACGTCACTTCTGTATCTTACAATTACAAAATCTGCCCCAAAATCTCCGAAAACGAATTTTCACAATCCTAAAAGAGCTCGTCGGGGCCGGAGATGGAAACAACAACCGGAGACGGAATCAGGCGGTCAAAGGTCTTCGCTTTGGTGGCAATTCTTCTATTCAGTTTCGTGAACGACATAACGGCGTTATCGGTAACGGTAAACGATGAGGAATGCGTGTACGAGTACGTTCTCTATGAAAACGACATGATTTCTGGAAACTTCGTCGTCGTTGATCATGACATCTTTTGGAGTTCCGATCATCCCGGCATCGATTTCGTCGTATGTCTTCTTTTTTTCTTTCTTTCCCTTTTAGCTTAATTGTGTATTTGTTTTTTCTCAAAATCGACTTTATGCCATTACTTGTGAACTGTTTTTGAGATTGATTACACGTTATTGGATCCACTTGTTTTTCACTTAGTTGATTTTTTTAGATTTAGCTCTTTTGAGATTTTTTATAGATTTGATAGATAACAATTATAAGAGCTATTGCATGTATTATTCTTCATAGGAAAACGTTTATACTGTATATAAAATTGCTGTTGAAATTTGTTTATCTAAAGGTGAATTGTTGTTGAAATTCAGATAGACTGTAAAGGTTTCCTCTCTTTTTTTTTTCTTTTTTTTTTAATGTAAATTAAGGTAAAAAATGAATTATCATTAAGTGAAGTGAATCTCATGGAAGGCATAGGCGGATCCAAGATTTGAACTTTATGGCTTCGAGTTTGAAATTCTATTACAACCTATTTGATTTACTGTGTTCAAATCTATTATTTCTACTTATTTAGTGAATTTTGTTTTTTACATATTAGACTTGAATGAACCCATAACTTGTACACTACATACGTCCCTCCGTGAAAGAGAATAGTTTTCTCCAATAATTATTTTGCAGTAATCAAGTGTTTAGTTTTCTGAAATTCTCAAAGCATAGAGCAGGAATTATGACTTTACACTGAAGGGAGGAAAATTGCTTATCACTTCTTCCTAGTATTATGTTTTAGGATCCTTGAGTTGGTTTGAATGTTTTGCTTCAATGACTGGACATTTTGCTACCTACTGCCATCACTTGCTTTTTGTTTCAAGACTGTATATTCTGCTACTTACTGCCATCACTTGCTTTTTGTTTAGATATTAGCACTTTTGTCTGCTTATTATTTGCACTTGCTAATCATCCCACAATACCAGCGATTTTGGCCATTTTAACTTAAATGAAATAGTGAAAATCAATCAATCAACTGCGCCTCAAGTCCAAATCTGTTGAGGTCGGCTATATTATTAACTTTTGCTTTACTGAGGTTAATTTCACTCCAATACTAAATGATCTGCCTTATTGTCTTCCCTCACTAAAGTATTATACAACAACTAAGACTCAGTCCGAAACAAGTTGGGGCTCGTTAAAGTTTCATGATTTCCAAATTTCTACTCTCCTAACTATGTTCATACTTCATACCTTCGGCTAGCTTGATAGCATCTTTGGCTGACCAACGAACGTATGTCTAATTATGAGTCATACTATATCATCGTTTGGTTCTAGAGGCCAGACAAAATCTAGTTTCAGAGAATTAGACAAGCTCTTGGATTAGCTCTTTAAATCTGTATATATCCTATTCTGAAGGAACCAGCCATTGCCTTCTGGTTCTCGCCCCCGCTGATGTAGACATACGCTTTATCATGCTCATCTTACATGCATCGTTTCATTCATCATCTTTGGAGCCATCCATTGCTGAACCACTAATTTATGGATCACTATTTATTGAGGATTTTACGCCTGACTTGGTACTACTCAACTGGGGGTTTGACTAGTCCACGTAGTTTCCTTGAGAAATTTACTAGAGCTTGCTTCAGAGCACTGTACTCTTTCATTTCAATTGGCTGAACTTCATTTGACTCGGAGATATCTTATTTTCTTTCATAAAAGCTCTTAACTTTTTTCGGTTCTGGTGCTTGACCAGATTCATTGTCATAAGAAATTTTATTCATAAACCTGAAATCTCTTTTTTCAAATACCACACATGATTTCTCAACTATCCTCCAATTATACAACCTTTGCTTCCCTCTACCTGATTTTTTTTTCTCCTCTTTCCTCCTCTTGTAGCCTCTTCAACATGCACAAATAACCATTATTCTTCTCTTTGCAAACTCACATGTAATCCCCTGTTCCATTAATCAGCGCTATCACTGAAGCACTGTTGTCATAAGCTTGCTCAAGGCACACTTAAGCCCTGAAGCTAGGTGCAAAAGAAGCTATGAGTTTAGCTTGCTTAGATGGTGCAGGATCAAGGGACTAAGCTGTGCGCCTCATCCCATGGACTCTCTCTGGAAGAGAGTATTACTAAACTTAAACATTTTTTCTAATTGTAAATTTTCTCAATTTTGTTAGTAATTATTTTTTGGGTTTAAATAATTATTCTTGAAATACAAATTTATTTTATTTTTTCCCCTTTATTTGAGCCTTTGGGTAAAGTATAAGAAAGATGCTCCAGCATCAGAAGTTAGTCTTTGTTTGGTGGTGATGACGAGTCATGGGAATCCAGCACATGTTAATGTCAAAAAATTTATTATACACAACAGACTGCTTCCACCTCTTAGCCATGTCTGCACTTGATGTAACTTATAATGGGAGCTTATTACCTCATTATTAATATGTTCTTATTTGTTTACTTTCGCCGCAACCTCATAGTGAAAAAGAGATCACGAATCTTTCTTATTAAGTCTTGTTACTCTCATGCAGGTGACAGCACCCGGGGAAAATGTTGTACACACAATGAAGGGAACATCTGGGGATAAATTTGAGTTCAAGGCCCCTCGGAGTGGGATGTACAAGTTCTGTTTTAAGAATCCTTATTCAACACCAGAAACAGTCTCTTTCTACATACATATTGGACACATCCCCAATGAGCATGACCTTGCTAAAGATGGTTGGTCTTATTTGCCATGTTATTGTTTTATCATTAATATTTTAGAAATATTAATTTCTGCTTTTACACAAATTTGGTTCCGTTGGTGACAAGAGACTGATATATTCTTTATGGTATTTCAGTAGCTGTGGAGGCTGACAGGCTGTTATGCATTATGTTAATTGACTGATATGTTCTTATATGTATTGCTGGGATAGTGGGATATTATGTATTATGTTTTTTGACTGATATGTTCTTATATGTATTGCTGGGATAGTGGGATATTATGTATTATGTTTTTTGACTGATATGTTCTTTATGCATAGCTAGGATTAGCTGCAGACTGTTATATTTTATTCACGTCCCTTTTCTTTTCTCATTTAACATTTACTAACCTTTGTGCAGAACATTTGGACCCCATTAATGTCAAAATTGCTGAACTAAGAGAGGCATTGGAGTCGGTTACTTCAGAGCAGAAGTACCTAAGAGCACGTGATGCTCGTCATCGTCATAGTAAGACTTCATTCTTTTTTTTGATAAGGACTTTATTGCTCTTTTATTTGAAATGGATATAAACTTGATTGGTTTTCCTTTATCCTAGTATGCCGAATGTCATTTATGTGGTAAATGCTTGATGACATTGAGACCGACTAGCTTATAGAACCGGCATAATAGTTCAGGACCCCCTGAACTTGACAAATTTTGTTTAGTTCCCCCTTAAGATTCATGTGGTTTTTAATACCC